TTCAAACTCCACTTCAGGTAGTTGAAGGCTGCTATTAAATCCCCACCTCAGTCTTCTCTTCTCTAGACTAAATAAGCCCAGTTCCCTCAGCCTCTCCGCCTAAGTCATGTCCCCCAGCCCCCTCATCATTTTTCATTTCCCTCTGCTGGACCCTCTCCAATTTGTCCACATCCTTTCCGTAGTGGGAGGCCCAAAACTGGACACAGTACTCCAGATGTAGCCTCACCAGTGCTGAATAGAGGGGAATAATTACTTCCCTTGACCTGCTGGCAACATTCCTGCCAATGCAGCCCAGGATGCCGTTAGCCTTTCTGGCAACAAGGGGACACTGTTGGCCATAGGTGACGCATAGGAGAAGCATGGGTGGGGGGGTGGTGCAGTCCCCACTTGCTGCTTACCTTTCCCCGCCCCATACCAACACTGCTGCCAGCAGCTGTGGACAGTCCCTGCTTGCCACTCACCACCATGGTGCCCCCCCAGTCATGGGAGGCACCAGTTATTCATGCTGTTGGTTCATATTCAGTTTCTTGTCTACTGTAACCCTCCAGGTCCTTTTCTGCAGAGCTGTTTCCCAGCCAGTCAGCCCCCAGCCTGTCCTTTTATCTGCTTTCCCAGAAATGTGAGCATGATCATCCTTCATTGCCAAGAATACCTTTCATTGTATAGTAAATGTGCATATACTAGTTTACTTGTGAATTTTGGCCTTCTGTAAAATAACTTGGCTGCATCATGGTCTGTGGGACTGATACTTGATACTGTTCCTTTGGGCTGGGAATTGAAATTCTTACCGCTATAGTATATGCCAAAGCAAGCTAAGCTAGATAAGCAGGTTGTCTTGTACTGGTGAAAGTGATCTTCTCAGACATGAATGGTAATGCCCTGGAGTTCTTTTCTGTGCCAAGCATAAAGGAAGTGTCTTAAATTGACCACAAAGCAAAACTAATATTACATATTACCTGCTTATTTAAATACTCATTTCAGTGAGGAAAGGAAGCTCCAAGAATATGCATGTATTTTTTGCCCATTTCTACAAATATTTAACCATTCTGCCTACTATACACCAGAAGGTAGTACATTGTTCTGTTTAATGATGGCAGCTCCAAGAGAACTGAAGAACATAAAATCATACAGTGTGAAATATGAAAGAGTTCATAAAGCAGGGAAGCATCCACAATGTTTTTGTGACATTTGTTCTGGAAACAAAATCAATTTTACTATGAAAATAAATCTGGAATTAAATTATTGATTTATCTTTCCGCTGAGAGACTTATTGATCCCATTGCTAATGCTCTATTCAGAGTATAATTACTATATGCAAAAGTAATTATAGTTCAGATGTACCTAACTGTACATCCAGAATCCAGAGGTCCTTATGTAAATTTTGTTCTGTCTATACTTTGGGCCATATCAATGGCTACATAGATCCTTTACTTGTAGGCATGAAAGTAAGGCCATATAAACATCCATTTTCTCCTGGGAAAGTCACTGCTTTCCCAGGGGAAGTGACAAGTGTACAGATTCAGCATTTTTCTCCCAGAGCAAAATTAACCTGCAAACAGCTAGGGTTAAATTGCCCCCAGAAGAGTTTCTTCTGGAAGAGAGAATGTCTGTATATGTTCTTTTCTGAGAGAAGATGCAGCACAATTGTCCAGCATCCCATTTTGCTTTCCTTCCACCTTCCCACCATGGAGACAATGTGCGTTGCTTCCTCGACTGCTGTTCCAGCCAAGCAGGGACCAGAACACACCCCCTTAACAGATCTCACATTGTGCTGCAGGGAGAGGCAGACTGACACTGATCATTCTGGGTCAGCCAATCAGGGACGTCCCGTACACTGGGGAGCCTACAGAGCACCCTAACATGTGTGCACAGGGGATCCCTAGATGCACAGCAGCAGCACTGAAGACTCTCTGCTTGTCAGGGGTTCAGAATCCAAATGCCTGTTCAGGCAGGCCCTGCGTGCCAACCCTGCAGCCCCAGAAACTGACACAAGAAGCAAGGGAAAGGTCACAAGCCAACAGGCCAAAGGAAGGGGACAGGTAAAAGGTAAAAAAACATCAACACTGTGGTAACATATACTCAGCATCTTAAATTTCCCCCGCCCCGCTCTGCCCAACACCTCCTGAGGTGTCCTCAAACAAGCCTTTAGTCCCTAGAGCAGTGATTTTTAACTTGTGGCCTGCGGACCTAAGGGATCTGCGAAAGACGACTATGATCAATAAAAAGTATGTGAATACTGATACTTATAATTCAAAGGGGCCTGCACCTCCATTTGAAATTTTCAAAGGGGTCCATACCTCCATTTAACATTTTTTAGGGAGCCACAAGTGAAAAAAGGTTGAAAACCACAGCCCTAGAGTGCTCAAAACAGCAGCCAACAGCTGCCGCCGAGTCTGAGTCTAGTTTCTTCAGTCCACAGTTCTGGCTGACCAAACCAGTGAGGTCTTCAGCTCGATTGTGCACTTTATGTAGGGCTGACCAGGTTTCATGTGCACACTGCTCTGTCTTCCCCTCACTCCAGCCTCAAGCCTCCTCTTCCTTTTTTCCTTGCCTCCCAGCCCATGGGGATTTCTGGGAGTTGCAGTCCAAATTAACAGTCAACACAGCTCTGCAGACTTCTCCCTACTTCTTCCTGCTGTTACACACATTACATTCACATCACACCTTGATTTTCCATCAGGAGAACAAACCTGGATTATATGTGGTAGGGTGTTTTTAAGCCTCCCCAGAGGGCACTGGGTGTTGGCTACAGCTAAGACTTTGGACTTCACCTGGGATGTACTGATTCTTCTACTAGGAGCAAAGCCAGAGGTTCCTAGCTAGAAGGTCTTGCCCTTCCACTCAGGGTCGGACTGATCACCATATTTGGGGTAAGGAAGGAAGTTTTACCCCATGGTCAAACTGGTATGGATTGTGGGGGGTTTTGCCTTCCTCTGTAGCAGGGGCATGGCCCTCTGTCAGGGACCTCTTGAGCATATTGGCAACATTTTATAGAAGCAGGACATTGGCTGCCATGGTTCCCATGCTTCCCCTGTGACAAGTTAAGGTGTAAGGTCTATGTTGTGTTAGGGATAAGGGTAGTCTTCTGTAGAATTCATAGTTGTATGAGATGGTTTGGATAAGGATGATCCTGACTCAGGCAGGGGGTTGAACTTGATGACCTCTGGAGGTCCCTTCCAGCCCTACTTCTCTATGGCTCTATGACTTCCAGATCATTTGAACATTTTTATGCAGCCTAAGTTTCTGGCATCGTTTACCATTTTTTCTCAGAGGCCCTACAGAAGCCTACCTACTGTGCTTAGATCTGCTTGTAAGGCCACTAGAATGTAGATCATTCCTCCATGAAAATTAGGCACAGGTGTCCAGTAGAGATTGGGGCTGTATTATCTGCTGTAAACAGCCACTTTATGCTGTAGATCTCCTTTTCTGAGGGAGAGAAAGCTACCGCAGAGTGCAGTCCAGCAGAGCTCCATTGGAGTTGCTTTGCCCCAGAGCCAGCAGGAGGACAAGGGTCTGTCTATGCTCAGGAAATTTTACTTACAAATTGACCGTAACTAACTTGCAGTGTTTGCATTTTGAAGCAAATTTTTTTTTTTAAACCTGTGTGTGTGTCACTATAGTACAGCCTTGCCTTCTAAGTTTCTCAGAACAGTTTGGTACTAACTGCTCACTTTGTAATACCCTTACTCAACATAGGATTTTTAAGTTATAATTGATGGAACTGCCTTAAAGCAAAAAAATAGGAGTTTAGGGAAATGCACAAAAGTCCTGAAATGTAGTCTTGCAAAGTTAAAAACTGCACCCAGGAACTCATGTACTCCAGGTATGTCACCCTCTCTGAGAGATTGCTTTGATAGTCAGATTTGCCATGGAGGGCTACTAGCTCCAAAACAGTGTGCTGTGAAGAAGGGAGTAGTAAGCACTCGCTTGCTTGCTTACCTTAGAGCTGTTTAGTATATCACAGCTCTGGCAGTGGGGTTGTCCTACCCCACTCCAGAAAGCAGAGGAAATCTGTGGTTCTGCCTTATAATTCTGTGGGGTGCACATCTGTGCTGAACTTTACTCATGGGCTACATTTTAAAGTTCATTCTAGCTTTATTTTTTTTTAAATCAATTACTTTTCTAAAACATCTTTAAAAATGAGTCACAATTTGCTTAAAACTTGTAGAAAAGCATAATGTGTCTATGGAAACTTAAAAACACATGCACCAGGATTTGATTTTCAACAAGTTAATTGTTGAGATATGCGCTGAGTTTGGGCATCCAGACTAGCACAGACTATCACAACTAGCATTGAGTTTGGGCATCACGAGCAGGTCCAAGGAGGTGATCCTCCCCCTCTACATGACATTGGTCAGGCCACAGTTGGAGTACTGCATCCAGTTCTGGGCGCCGCACTTCAGGAGGGATGTGGACAACATCGAGAGTGTCCAGAGGAGGATCACTCGCATGATCGGGGGCAGCAGGGCAGGCCCTACGACGAGAGGCTACGGGACCTGAACCTGGTCATCCTCCACAGGAGAAGGCTGAGAGGGGATCTGGTAGCTGTCTACAAACTGGCCAAGGGGGACCAGCAGGCTATGGGAGAGTCCCTGTTCCCCCAAGCACTACTGGGAGTAACAAGGAATAACAGCCATAAGTAGACAGAGAGTAGATTCAGGCTAGATATCAGGAGGCACTACTTCTCAGTCAGGGTGGCTAGGATCTGGAACCAACTTCCAAGAGAAGTGGTGCTCACTCCTACCCTGGGGGTCTTTAAAAGGAGGCTAGATAGACACCTTACCAGGGTTGTTTGACCCCAGCATTCTTTCCTGCCCATGGCAAGGGGTCAGACTTGATGATCTGCTCAGGTCCCTTCTGACCCTACCAGCTCAAGTTTTTGGTTCAAGTTTTTGGTTTCATATTTGGTATTTTGTTTTGGCCCTAAAACATATATTTCTCTCTGTATGGCAGTCAGATGTATTCTAGATTTTTTTGTTTTTGTCTTTTTTTATATACAGAAAAACTTCACTGGCCTAAACAAGAGCTCTCTAAAAAGACGGTCTTAAATCCAGAGGAACACAAGCTGGTCATTAAGAATGAAAACAGTCTTCAGCACCTGTCACCTGGAGTCCTTAAGGACATTTTCACAACAGGAACAAGTAGCTACAATGTCCTTCTGCAGAGTAAAGAGGAGAAGAAACACCACTTCCAAAAGCAGTCATCTGTACATCATAAAAGACACAGAAAATCCACCAAGTTTTCCACTACCTTGCGAAGCAGCGAGCACTGCAAGATCAAAGTACCGCTGCCTTTGCTGAGCAGCGGGTGGTACTGTACGAGCAGACAGCCCTCTGTCTTCATCACTAGCCCAATGTCTAGCAGTGTAAAGTTTACAAATGGTATTTCAGTCACAGGGAACAGCAAAGGACTGCCACCTCGAACCAAAAGCAAGGCTAAGAGGCATTATTTCTCTAATCTAGCAAAGCCAAAGCAGCCCCAGTTGTCAAAAAGCCATGGAAAAGAGGGAGAAGTTTCTGGCCGAAAACTCTGTATACTAACTGCCATCAAGCCTTCCAATGTAGAGAAAGAGAAGATGAAATTCTTCAAGTCAGATTTTACCTACAATCCTCAATTTGAATATGCAAATCCTGCATTGCCAAATGTATTAGCCAAGCATAGTCAAGCATCTGACAGATTTCTTAAGCAGGTACAGTTCTTTTTTTTTTCTCTTTTAAAAAGACAGTGTGGGCCTCTTCTTGCTGCAGGTCAGAGATTCTTCTTCATAACAGCTTATATTAGAACATGAGACTATATCAACTGCAAAATACAAATTAAAGGGACATTGATATTGAATGCACTCCCATATCACTGGGCACGTCTACATGAGATATTACTGTGCAGTGGTTACTGTGCATTTATTTTGTACTTGTACAAGCAAGTACTAAATAAATGTGCAGTAACTGGAGGTACTGCACATTAGTGCCAGTGAATGTCCTTTTATTGATGTTACTGCACAGTAGCCTAATAATATTGCGCAGTAGCATCTTGGCACAGTTTTTGCTAAATGATGCTACTGCACAGTAATATCAGGCTACTCTGCAGTCAGCATCACATGTAGATGCGCCCACTGAAACCTTTTCAAGTTGAATGTGTTTTAAAAATCTTTTTTTCACCAGAAAGAAAAAACCTAAAATTTACTGCCATAGTTGACAAGGACCTATCCACGTGACATTAATTTCTAGTTGTCTCTCTGGTTTTCATGTTTTCTTTGACTAGCCTGCCTAATAGAACGAGATGTTTCTATAAGATGTTGTAGAGCTGAACCTACTTAAAACATGAAAAAGACTGTACAATATGCAAGTCAGTCATACGGGGTATCTCTATGTAATGTCTCACGTAATGGCCTTTTTGTATATGTCTCAGTCTGGTGGGAGGAAAAGGAAACTTAGAGAACCTACCAGCCCTCTTGCTGACACAGTATGTAGGGGGCAATCATAAATTCGTTATGACTTGCCTTGAGGACATGGTTATTGGATAAGCATGTGTTGATTTCATTTGGTTTAATTAACTTTGGAAGGATATTCACATTTCATTAGGCTCAGTCAGGCGGCAAATCTGCCTCTGCCCTTGACTGTGATTGAGATTCTGTTCCAGGGTCAGGTAAAGCTGCATAAATCAATTTTCCTATGCTATGTGGTCTGCTTTCTGTGTAGGTTCATGGGATGCTGTTGTCCATTTGATAGCTAAGCTGCAGCCTTTTCAATTCATTTTATTAATGTGGCTTCCTATCTATTATCATGCTCAAAATGCTTTTATTTCAACTTTAACCTACATGAGATGCATCGAGTGTTTATCTCTGTAGCACCAAAAGCAACCCTGCTCCCACTTGTGCTTTTCTGTAAGATCGTTTCTAGCTTAGGAAATGAAATAGCTGTAGAAAATGCATTTAACAGAGAATCCCATATTGTAAATGCTGTCGTTCTGTAGCAGGCTTTCTTTTTTGGTTGCAATGCATACAAAAATTATTTCACTTCCACAAAGAATCTCAGTGCAGGAATTGAAAATAAAACACTTCAAATTCCAGACACCTAGGATTTTATCATCTGGTTTAGGAAGAATATGATGCGCCATATTTTCAAAACTATTGAATGTCTAAGAGGATCTTTTTTTTATTCTTTTGGTTATCCTATTATACATTTGATCTGAATTGTGAGTTTAATTGTTTCCCTGATGAAACAGAACATATCTACTTTGTCCTAAAAAGCTCTGAAGAGGTCTTTTAAGTTATTACTTATTTGGTGTGTGCTTTCTTTTAAAACAAATGTCTGCTTGGTGAATAATTTTAGGGACAGTAAAATTGCTGATTGCAAATAAGTTAAATAGCTAAATTTGGAATATTGAATTTAATGTAAACTAGCCCTTTTTGTATTTATGAAAAAAGAAACAATTCAGTTTTAAGCAAGACTTTAAAAGAATGTTTAAATATAAAACTCTCGCATAGAGAAATCAGTGAAGTATTTGTTTGAGGGTATGATTTCTTTCAACAAATTACTGTAAAATCTAATCAAAATAATGACTGACTGACTAGTTTATAGCAATTGGTCTCTCAACGATATTTGTTATTTATTTTAGGGACTGATGCTTCATTGAAAGTTTTTTAATAATTAAGTATGGCAAAATACACATTTAATATCATAACAAATAATGAAGATAAGCTTATTTTATATCCAGTGAAGCATGACATAGCTGACAAATTTTCTTCAGTTGGACATAGAAAGTAAAAACTGCTTTTCTCAGACAGAGCTATGAATTGCTTTACAATATAAGTTAGTGTATGTGACTGGAATGGAAAGGAAAAACAATATTTTCTCAAACTTCAGATTATTAAACTACTGAATAAATGGATTCTGGACTTTTTAATAGATGAAAAATAGCAGCAATCTTGTCTCAGATAACACCAATCCCAGTAGATGGCACTATTTCTTTTCCCCTGTAGTTAAATGGAAAATCTCATTTTCATGGAGATTTGAATTTAATTTCTTCTAGCTACTATTTATATGAACCAATATATTTCCCAGAATGATAATCAGTAACTTATATATGCATTCCTACAATATGGGTCATAAAAGTTGCTGCCTTCCTTCAATTTTCACTGAAAGTTTAAACTAAAACATACTTTCATTAGGAGGAGGATAAACACTATACTGCCTTTTGCCATATATACTAATGAATTCTGCTCTTGCAAGCATTTACAACCAATCAACTTTTTAATGGTTTGTTTTCAGACATTACTATATGCATTGAAGTATTTTTCTTATAACAAGACAGTGGACTCACTTGGGTTTTTGCAACATTTTCAGGCTTCGATTGGTCACCATCATTATTCTAGAAGCATAATCTGTTAAATTAATTCTGACAGATTTTCAGGAGATGCTTATAGCAATAGACATACACGCACATGCACACGTGCATACCTACACATAGAGCAGACCTAACGCTGCTCCCAGGCCAGTTTTACAGTAATGGAATTCCCTTGACTTTTTACATCAACACTGTAAGTCAGACACTAATACATTAATTCTTCAGAAGACACTACTGAGGAATTTTTAATCATCTGAAAATTTGGATTCATAGCTACTCTGGAAGCTCAACAGAGAGTCTGTTCTTTTACATATGTGTTTTCCTCCATTGCGTGTGGCTATTTCGAGTCTTAATGCTGTATTGCAGGCAATGTTTTCTGAAGATATGATGGGGATTTAACCATAGAAGTACTTAATCTTTTTAAAGAAAAGAAATAGAGGGGAAATGAGATGGGTTTTGCCAGTACTGTATAAAAGAAATGCTTGATTTGGAAATTAATTAGAGTTCTTCTAAGCTCTCTCTTCTCCAGGCCTCTGATCTCATCAGAGAAGATTCTCCAACTTGGTAACACAGTCTGCTCCCTTTTAAGTTCCCCTCCTTGCCATAGATATATAGTAACGTGTAGGATTATTAATGTCATACAATAAACTATGGCTAACTTCATAGCTTCTTTTTTTAGGAATTTCTCTGTTTTACCACTTTCTTTATTCTCACCTTTCTGTTCTCCCCTCTTCAATTTTTCCGTATCCTCTTATCTTTATAGTATGTTTCATTCATAAGCTAAGAAATATGTAGTAGAGGAAAATACATAAAGAATCACAAGTATGTCATAAACATAAAAAATAGCATAGCAAACAGGCCTTTCATAATGATCACTATCTGTATCTTCTGAAGCCACAGATGTAGTTCTCTTCACTTTACGTATATTGTAACTGTAATAATAGGGATAGTTCATAATCAGGATTGCAGTACAGTGTCCAAACTATCAGAGGTCGTTTTCACAACTAGAAACATTATTCCTGGCTTGGACCAAATACTCTTAAGTCTTTATCTTCATTAGTACTAAGTTCACTATAATCTTAAATTGATACAATTCATCTATATACACAAGGTAATATTTGGGTTGATGCAATTATTATGACCTCTTTCTAGTAGAGCACTTATTCATCAATTTCCTTGATTAAAATCCAAGACATGAAACTGGTTTTAAGTGATTTTGTTCTAAATTAGAAGCCTCATACCCAATAGATATCTTGTAAGGACAACTAGTTAGTTGAAATCTGATAAAATATAACTAGGCGAGCGGGGTGCTGTTAGGGAAGTCATACTTCTAGTTCCATACAAAGTTGGAAATTAATTGTCAGGCACCTGTTACAAGTGTTTGTGTTACAGTTTTAAGTAGCCGTAATAAGTTTTGACGAATAGTACATTAGTGACCATCTGAAGTGTTGGTGCTGTAATTGGATGATACTGAAGCTCTGAGTGACAAGTAATTTAACAGAGAGAATACCAACCTAGAAATGTGTTGTTATTTTTATTAGGTGTACTTCTGAGTCTCTGAGACACTTAATTATGCAACCAGTATCAGGAGGTAAGAGACAAGACAAATATCAGTTCTTTAAATGAACATTAAGTTCCTCCCTCCTCAGCAACTGTCTTTTATGCAGATTTTGCTTTTATTCTCCTTTCCATCCCTAGACAAAAAGAGACCAACATTTTATGACCCTTGGTCAGGCTAATACATTCCATCTGCTGCAGCCTGACATACTTAGGAAAAAGCAGCTGTGCTTCGAAGTCCAACAAGCTCAGGAAGAAAGAAGCAGCTGGGTCTCCAAAGCTTTGTCTTCCCAACAAATTCTAATTGAGTTTGTAACCACTTAGTAGCCTGGTTGACTCTTGAAACTAAGAACAAAGAACTGGAAAGGTCCTTCTGAGTGATAGAGTTGAGTCTCCTGCTATCACAGGTGCCACATTATTAGAATCTGGTACATATATTTATAACTTCACTCAAATAACTGAGTTGTATGGTTTCACACAACACCTGGAATACAAGGAACCACACTGTTTTGTCTATAAGGAAACTTATCATTATTTGTTAATTCACCAAAAGCTATCACAGGTTTACAATACCCGAGGAAGTCATGTATTCCCACTCCTGCCCAAAGCAGGATCATTCATGCCTAAGACATCCCAGCCAAATGTTTGTATTATCTGCACTTAAAACTTCTTCTTGGTGTGTTTCAAAAAGAAAGTGGCCATAACTGCATGTAGTGAGGACCCCATCCTGTAAGTCTGTGTTAAGCCTGGTTTTAGCAAATCTACAGCTTAGGAAATTTATACATAGGG